CAAGCCCCTTCCACCAAACAGTTTAATACCTGAAGAGCTGAAAAGATTAATTTCACCTATATAGCTTGCACTTTAAAAATGTAAATGAAGTCTATACATGGAATTCCTCTGTGACAGCTTCCTCTATTAACAGACTAAGTCATCCATCTGTCACAGGGAGAGAAAAGCCTATTTGCCACTCAAAACCACAAACTCAACAAAATTGCTCAGAATACTCAGCATCACCTCAGTGCGTGGTTAGTAAGCAAACCACTTAAAAATAATGAAACAATTGGCAGCACAAGACAGTAATCAGGGCTAAAGAGTAAAATGTGCCTTGAAATGGCATCAACTGCTGCAGAGGCTGGCTGGGATTATTAGCATGGCATCATTTACACTTCTCACACCTTTGCTTTCTCCCGGAATAAAATGAAATAAAAAAATTGTGGTTTCCAGGATAAGTATATATGCTATAATCTCAAAGTAGCCATCATAACGTATTTCCATTTTCTACCCCAGAAGTAAAAGGTAGAAACTTTTCATGTTGCAGCTTTCCCCTCTTAGGCAAGGCCAGCCAGAAGAGTCCTTGCCAGCATCTCACTTGCCAGACATAAATTGAAGAGAGAGGAAGCCGTGGGCCTGTCCCACTGGTTGATCAAATCACATTTAATCATATCAAGGCATCTATTTTTTTTCATTATTCTGTTTGGTTGATATTTAGAAACAAAAAGGCAACCTTATTTTAGGAATTTGGTAATTAGAATTATATTAGTAGATCAAATTGACATTTGGAATTAATTATAAAAGGGGGGAAAAGGGCTTGTGCTGACTCTTGATCTTTTAGAATGCAAAAATATGGTCTGATAAGCATATTTGCCATCTTGGAAGCATCAAGGTTTATTGTGATTTATTGGCTGATATTAAACTAACTCCTTATTTAATGATCTAAGCTGAGATCATGGCTCCAGAGAAGTAGACATTATACATATATATATATATGTATATATGTATATGTATAAAATGAAATTTCTCACACAGTTTTGATGCATTATTTAGCCAGTATTACTACTACTTTTCCTAAACTTTGGCAAAAAATCAGGGAACAGCTGAGTTCTAAGTGTTAATGGAAGGTCTTATTTACCAACAGCAAAGCAGCCTTCTGCTGGATGCCTCTAAGAGGGTAATACTTCAGTTACTACTGGCTTAAGCATGTATCTTATATGATCCTGCTAAGTCTTTGCCAGTGTAAGCAAGGACTGACTGCATTCCTTAGTAATCTGTGATTTCCGTAGTAATCTGTGATTGTTTGAACAAAGAAACAGCATAAAATAATAAAGTTTAAACAATTAGAAATATTATAGATATGATACATATTTCACATCTATTATATATACCTGGATATGAAATATGTTTCTTCTCTCATTGATTTATCTTTACTTCGGTGGTAACTCTTTAAAATGCCTTTTGAGGGTTACAAACTGTTGTGTTTCTATTGATCCCACACAAGTTGTCCCCCACATGCCAGAGCTGATCCAGGTCCTGTCCCTGTGCTGGCACCAAACACGGCTGTTGGGAAGCTCAGAACTGCTGCCAGGTCAGTAGAAGATATTGGTTTAAGTGTCTTTCTTTTAAACATGTCCAGACTATTTGGTTTTCTTCAGTAAGAAAGAAGAAAGAATTTCTTTTTTCTTAATTTTCATCCCTGTTTTTCCTTCTGAAAAACCATTATCAGAAATGCCATTTGTGAAGCAGAGAGTGAAGACTGTGTGCATTCCTACTGACAGCAAGATTTCCACAGATTTCAGTGTGTCCAGGTTTTGCCTCTGAGCTCTCCACCATGTTTGCTGTGCAGATGGGATTTCCTCCTGTACACATCCTGCAGCTGGATCTGGGTGGCAGAAGCAGCTCTGATTTCATCCATGCTGTCCATAACCCTCCCTGCCTGCTGAGCTGCACAAATTGCTGACTACTGAATCCTCAAGGTGAAGGACAACACAAAAAACATTTTCAGGGATTTGAAAGGATGGAATTAACAAGGCAGGAGAATGTAAGTCTAAAAGCCAGGATAAACAATACAAAGATATTTCTCTTCCCTTTCAGGAAGCTGAAAGGAAAATTGTCTGGAAATGTGCAGCGTTGATGGACAGCCTGCTAACAGTAAAAATAGGAGTCTCTGAAATGCTAGGAAATAAAAATTCATTACCCAAATTAAGAAATATAAATTTGACAGGTGCTTCCTGTGGATGTGGAGATGAGGGAAGTAGAAGAGGGTTTCTCAAGTAAAGGATAATGAGGATGCAGAGAGCAGGTAATTTGTTTCTTCTCTCCAAGGCAGCTCAGCATGGGGGGATCCTGCCCTGCTAATGAAGCCGTGCCCGCGCTGCGTGCGATGGGTGCTGCATCTGCAGAGGGGCTCTTGTGTCACTGAGTGGAGCTTGGGAAAGCTGAAAATTGCTTTCCTCAGGCTGCAGCAACTTCCCTCATCCACAGGAGATGCTCAAGGGGATCAGTCCATCTCCCTGTTTTCCAGCAGAACAAACCCAAGTCATGCTGGAATTGTTCATCAGCTGGGAGTCTGAGGATGTAACTGTGTGTTTGCCTTACCTCACCGACACAGGCTGGTTTCCTTGTGAAATATTCCATGGATTTTGTCCAGTCTGGCTTCAAAAGTGAGAGGTTACAGGCTCCTTCCACTTCTGATCTAGTGACATTCAAGGTCAGGGGTTTTCACTGACAAGGAGTTTTGGTTTGCCTGAATGATGTAACTTCATTCTTAATTGCATTATTATAAATTAAGGTTTCATAATTATTTCAGTCTTGCTGCTTCAGTCTTCCAAACCTTTTTATTGGGAACTAATGTTCCTCTAACCTTAAGCCATAATTTAATTGTGTTAAACTTAGTTACCACTGTTGCTCTCCTCTCCAAAATAAGATCTTTCGCTATTTTCTGCAGAACTTCCTGTATCCTGTCTCTTGTTATATGTATTACATAGCACAAAGATTTAAATTTTAACTTGCTTCATCTCTCCAAACTGGAATTCAGATACTACACATCTTCAGATATATAAAACAAGAACCACATTTCTGCCATGCTCAGGGCAAACTACTGAAGCAGGTTTACCTTCACTGTCTAGGGCTCCCTGTGGAGGATACCCTCCCTCTTTTTGGAAGAGAACCATTCACTTTAGAAAATAAGTTTCAACTTTTTGAAAATTAAGGTGATTAAGAGAATATGTTCCTCCAGCCTAGCTCAGAAACAGGCTTCTCTCTTTCATGTGTTTCCTTATTTTTCAGCCTATAAAATGTTTCACTAGAGGAAGGGGGCACCACACAAACCCCTATTGAGTTATGATGCTATAGAGCAGAAAAAGCTAGCAAGATGAATCTACTTTTTTTTGTCAGAGTTCCAAGACACTGACAAAGTTGTGAGTTCCACAGCACTGTTGTGGCAGATTTTATACCAGCAGCAGCATTAATAACCAGCAGGAATTCAACGAAACGTAGTTGAGAATGGATGTGCCATCCTAGCAAGGGCAATCAAGTAGCCCAGTGAGACACCATGTTCCAAGATTTTATCCTCACAGACCTGCCTCCAAAGGCACACATCTAACTCCAGAGGCAACCAGTCAAAACATGTAAAATTTAAAATTTCACACTCTCTTTTTGGCATTTCCAAGAAGCTTATGACACCTGAAAATTTTAATCCACCATATGCTTCACTTGATTCCTGAACTGCTCTTCAGTTCTTTCTCTCAGCATTCAAAGGGAGTCTCAGCTGATAAAAGATGCACCAGGAACACACGGTTCAGGCTGAAAGGGCTCATACAACCTGGGACAGATTCACTTCACTGAGCATTAATCCACTTTAATCCAATTGGATCACATACCAAACCAGCAAAATCCTTGAGGCTTTGACAGCACCAGTTCTGCTGATATTTAAAGGTTAACAAAATCAGCAGGTCCTGTGCTACTTGTATCTACACTGAGAACTCTGGCTGATAATCTGTACAATGAGTTAATGAATATGAAGTAGAGACCACACACTGATATCACTCTTTTTTTTCCCCCAATGGGATGTAGAGCCCCAAAATCTCTTATCAGAATGCAAGTGCCGTAAGATAACCATGCTTCAGTAACTCAGTAATTTCAAGAATATCAAAGTAGGAGAAAAATATAAGATGCAAAACATTCCATTTTGATACAAATTCCTCACTGCTTGAGAAAGCAAAGTCTCCCCTAAATCTCTGAATGGCTCATGCAGGCACAGCAGATAAATGATCTGAGGTGGGAGATGACAATCTCTGAGACCAAGAGGATGGGAGAAAGATGCAGAGAGCTATAATGAAAGCTGTCAAGTGCATCATCTTGCTGTAGCACTGTCCTTATGAAAGATGTAAGAGCACTTGCAGATGTTAAATACTGAGAAGGAACAGCTTAACATCCAAGTGCAGCTCTCAGAGGGGATCCTGCAGAGCAACAAGATTTTTAAAAGGCTGATGAAAACTAGAAGGAAACCAAAAGTAGAAAAAACACACAACAAACACAATTTAAAAGTATATAAAAACATATAGAAACCCTGTGTATAATCCTTCCACGAAGGGCCTGAAGGAAGGAACTGTGCTTACTCACCCCCATGACATTTGTCTCCAACAAACCAATGCTGTGACTGACACACTCTGCACTCAAACACAATAGAAAACCGAGGCCTTGACCAGCTGCAGCCTTTCTGGAAGGATACCAGGGCTCCCAGGAAAGAGCTGATGTTAAATCTGTGCCCGGGATGGCTCCAGCCTGCCCATTTCCCTAGGTCTCCCATTCTCCTGGGCAAAATCATACTGATTCAGTCCAAGCCCTGCACAGCAGAGTACAGGAAACATGTTTATCCCAGAAGATGCTGTAGTGACAAACTCAACATAAATGAGGACTTCAGGATCAAAGCCATGATGTAAAATGTTAAAACACATTCTGTCTCAAGGTCACGCATACAAAAATTATTACGGATTCTGTAATAATAGAAGCAGTTGCTTCACTGAAATTAATTTATTTTGAGAATATCCCTTTTAATCCTCCATGCATTTTTAGCACAAAAAGTTGAGTTTTATCACAACCTCCTTCATAAAACTTAATATTGTATGTCTAGTAATGTGGCTGTTTCAACAGTTCCTCATTGGAAATTCCCACATCTGTGAAACCTTGGCAACACTGTTAGTAAGTGACCTACACAAAGTTTATTAGAAAAATTTTACTGAATATCCTCTGTTTAATGTAAACAAGGCAGGAGGCAAAACAAGGAGTATATATTTTATATAATTACACTATTTTACAGGGCACAGAAAGCATTGAGGACATGGTTTGAAAACCCTGTATGATATGCAATATCAGATATGGATTTTCCATGTAGCCCCAGGTCTACTCCAGGACACTTTAATCTCACCAAGTCCTTCAGGTTAGTATTTCTTCTAGCAAGACAAAGAGCACTAACAAAATGTCACCTGTGAGATTGCACAGCAGGTTATGGTAGAAATTACCATGCATTTACAAAGCCATTCCATGATTACTTGTGCCCTGTAAAATGAAGTGTGGCAATCTTTACACTAATCATAGTGTAAGCAAGCTCGGGATTCTGGTCCTTTTATATATATATGTATATATATACATAGGTGATGTACAACCAGACTCAAGCTGTGCATCAAGTCACAGCTTTTATATTGCACAGACAAATATAGAGTAAGAACATTACACAGACAGAATCTGAATACCAGGAATATTACAGTCATAGGAGAACCTAAGGACAAACTTGTTCTACCAGAGCTAGCACATGGCTTATTACAAAAGTTTCTAAATCAGAGTCTAAATCAAATACATACCATAAACGAACGAAAAAAAAAATAAAACAATGCTTCTATTTACACACATGTGCATCAGGATTAGAATGTGGTTTGGATCTGCTTTTAGAAATAAAAAATTATTCTAGTATCCCATCTCAAGTATTTCAATCTAATACCAGTGGCCCCATTCTCTAAGGTGATGAGCACTTGTCTTTCCCACTGACATCGGGAGGATCTGCACAAGCCATGAACTCTCTAGGCCAAGTATTTTCTCTGATGGCCCTCTCTGGGTAATAAATAACCACATACAAACACATGCACACAGAAACAAAATGGGCTCCTCATGACATGCATAGATCAAAAAGGTGAAAACATGGACCTGAACTAACTTCTAATAATTAAAAAAAAAGTGCATGAAAAATATCACCATAAAAAAAAATTAAATGAGTTCCATCTCTTAAGAAAGATTAAAGCACTTTTACAAAAATAAAGGTCATCGTCATCAGTATGGTAATAAGGGTTTGTAGGCAGCACGCACAAAAGCAGTTTAGGCTAAAGCAACTTTAAGGATGGCTTCACTTGTGTGAGGATGGATCCATGTCTTATAAATTTATCAACTAATTAACATGTGGTTTGAAAGAGAACATCACCAATGTCACTGGAGACTGAACAATCATAGCCTGAATTTAAGAGTGATCATAGTTCTATCTACTTATTTTTGCCATGGACAAGCTTTAGGAGCTGTGCTTGCAGCTCTGCAGTGCTTTGCATCAGCACACCACAGAGGCTGCAGCCTTTCAGGGTAAGGAGTTCAGCTACCAGTGAAAACAGCCAAACAAAGGAAGTGATGTTAATGCTTTCATTTGAGATCAGGCAACTCTTGAATGGCTTTATCAATTCGTATGTTACTTGGAATGCTCTTGCAAGTTTTGTTTAACATTTCGCTCACTTTCCTTTACAGCAGTATTATCACTTCCAGTTTCCACTGAAACTGGGACAAGTATTTTGGATCACATACTTTAAAAAAAATAAATAGATGATTTGAGGAAAAAGTAATTAAGATCAAGCAAAACCAACAAAGACCCAAATTCAGAAAAGCATCAGCATTTCTGCTCAACTACTTAACTTTGTTCATGTAAAAGATTGTGATTTAAGGAAAAAATGCTTTAAGTTTATGTTTAACTACTTTGCTGAATTGGGACCTTCTAAATAACAAATGTATGTATTAAACATCGCTCTGCATAGAGATCAACATGTTATAAACTATGTGTCATGTATTAAGTAAGGTCCTAATGTGGACTGTCTGCAATGCACATCACTAAAAATGATTTGCTATATTCAAGGTATGTTTCTCAAGAAGAAAATGAAATGCAATTTTTTCAAATTTTGTCCTACTATACTACTTGGACCTGAAAACGCTTTGGAGCTAAATGCAGAAAAAAAAAACAGGTGAAGAAATAAAGCATGCTTTTGTTTGCCAGAGAAATGCAACAGTTTTCACAAAAGTGTCCCAGTACAGGGAGCCACTGAATACAGATTTTACCTACCAAAATGTTTCCCCAGTTCCAGAACTGCTTTCTCCAGCTGATCCTGGAAGCTTTTACAGCAGGATGCTCTTCACTGGTGACAAGAATAAATTTAGCCCATTAACTGTGACAGTGCTCTAATTAACCTGCTAACTTAGAAGGTCTCTTAATATCCAGCTTCCATAAATATTAAAAAACAAGACCTCAAAGGCATAGATAAAGAGCAGAATCTGATTCTAGGTACAGTCATGTAAATCCAGAGCAATTCTAGTGACTGAGTAAATTAGTCCATGTTTGCATATGAGCAATGACATCTGAAATGGGCATTAGCTGTGCCAACAGGAGGCAGGAAAGACAAACCAGGAAAGACAACGTAAACAGAAGGAACTGAGCTCTACCTGGCCTTGTTCAAAGGAGGGGAAAGGGGTCCCACCCACGAGTGTGGGGAGCAGGACAGGTCACTGGGTGTGACTGCAAGGTCCAGACAGGCTGCTGGCTGTGAGGAGCCTCTGGAGGGCAGAAGCAAAGCACCCTGAAGTGGCCTCTGCTTGCAATGCCAGTGCCTGCCCTGGCTGATGGCATTCACATGGAAAGGGAGTCGCTGAGAGGCATTCCTGCATCCCAGCGCTGTGAAAAGCAGTGCAAATTTTGGTCCTAAATAAGTTATCAATGCTTTAACTGAGTTGGCATCACTGTGACGGTTAGATAAGCAATAAAAACGTCTCTCAAAATAACAAAATGTTTATGCTGCCAATTTTCAAGGCACAAAGGATTCTTAAACCAATTCAGACCAAAACAAATTTAAAAGAAATTAAAAATACTGTTTCAGCAACAACTACTGATGACCTATAATTAACCTATTATATAAAGGTGACATGAGTCAAACAACTAGAGCTCCCATGTAAAAAGCTAAAGCTAATCTAGTTACATGGATGACCTGGAGACCAATCACTTGGAATGACAGAGACAAACATGCTACTAACATGTACACTTCAGATATATTTGTTATGGCTGTGATGCCGAATCAGGATTAATTTCTTTAGTATTGATTTTAGACTGATAGATTTCTTGGAGTAAACCAAAGAGGAATCAAGCTTAGAGCTGTACTTAAGATCTACCAAAAGCAAAATGATCCCTCATTAACATCTCCTGTTGTATATGGATTGGTGGATTTTTTTGAGCTTCTTCATTTCTAATAACATACGTTGCAAGTATAGGTATATTTTTCTTTCATATATCTAACTGAAAAGAAAAGGTATGAAGACATAAAAATGTTATAAAATTAATTTGCTTTTTTAAAAGTAATATGGTCACAAAGAGCAAATTGGTGCATGTGAGCCCCAGAACACACAAGAGCCCAAACTCTCTAAACATTGTCATCAGAATAACCAAGGTCTGATGGCTGTGGTTCTTCATGCAGCTTTTGCAGCTCTTCTCACAGGGTCTAGAAATGCTGTGTACTGGTTTCTCCCCAAATGCCTTTGCTCATATTCCAAGTCCATTTGCAATCTCAACATCTGGTGAAAGCAACTTGTCTTCCCAACACCCCCTGCCGCTGCCGGGAGGCACCAGCTCGTCTCTGGGTGTTGTCCGCGGCCCTCCGGGGCTGGCTGGGCCGGGCTGCTCAGGGCGTGGCTGAGGTGTGGTACTTGACAAAGGCGATCGCCGCCAGCTCCTTGCAGAACTCTTCCAGCACAATCACGCCCTCTAGTAACGTCATGTGGTCAATGCTGGGACAGGAAGAGAATTGCAGGGAATCAGGATTGGCACACAAACCCAGCCACGCGTCTCGGAGAACGAGCAATGTGTTTACTCACATGGGCCCGTCTGGCTCCAAGCCCAGCAGGCGTTTTCTGACCAGCAGAAGTTTGGGAGTGAAATCTGGGATGCGCTGGATTCTAACCATGAGGTCCCCGACCACCTGTAAAGCCCAGGCCATCAACACACAAAGTTAACACCTCTGCAGAGTGCCTGGCAGCAAGGTTCAATGGCAGCTTCAGTGCCCACTTCAGCACCCTCACAGGCTCCCAGAACAACCTGCGGAGAGCCTGCTCTGCCCAAGAGGGTGAGTGAGTGCAGAAAATAAAGAAATACAAAAGCCTTACTTGCTCTTGTCACAAATGGCATTACTTATTCTAATTACATCAATGGTTAATTTGTCTTTTTAAATGTTGACACAGGCAATCAACCAGTGAATTCGTGGGTCTAGGGAAAGCGCACGGGGAGAGAGTGAGGGCTGTATTTTGGAACGGGGAGGGCTGCTGGGGAGAAAGGGAGCCAAGCCCTCTGTTACTATTGGGCAAGCATCATTATCAGGCTCCTGACCAGCTCTGTAACAGCTGGTGCGGGGGGTAAGCAAGGGATTCTGACTGAGGACCCTGCAGTGTGACAGGCACCCAGCCAGCACTTCTAGGATGCAAGTCTGGCAGGAAGAGATGGAATTGGACAAGAAAGGGACTTTTGATAAATCCAGGACTTAATTGTCAACCCTTCATCAGAAAAAAAAAGAGTATGAGCAGAGATACCCATGTAGGCCCAATCTTGATTCAAAATCAGCTTCCAATGACAAACATTTACCAACATAAAATACCCAGCAACTACTATAACTAATGACAAAGTTATTAAACATATTACTGCTGTACAGCCATGTGTAATTATTGCTGTGTTTACTCACCCTGACAATCACAGAGAAGAGAGACTTGCAGCCAGAGGCGAGGTTGACGTAAGGATCCAAAAGGTATTCGTGTATATGAGGATGGGGAAACAGGGACAGTTTGGACAACACTGACGTAACTTGTAAATTTACATCATAGGGCTGCAAAAAGAGGGAAACACACTGCTTAGTTATTTTCATGCTGGCTTCTTTTTATCCACCTCATGTTTATTTAACTACCAGAACTTTTTCCACAGGGTTATGAATAAATAAAGATAAAAAGTTAGATTAGAAGACAGGCCCAACCTCTCCTTTTCACAACAGCAGTGCTGTGACTATGACAGTTGGGCATTAGATGTTATTATCTGCATCGCTGCTACAACCGCTTGAAGCTTTTGCACACTTGTTTATTGCAGGGCAAGTCCTCTTCCTGTAAAACATTTCTTCAGCTAAAGAAATAGCACAGAATCAGCCTAGATTAAACATCTGCTTGCTTCTCCTGGGAACATGTAAAGTATATGAGCTCAGGAAATTGCCAGAGACCAATCCATGTTTACAGCTAATACGTTATTTCTCTTCTACATTATTTTTTTCTGGGGAAGAACCACTGCAGAAGGCCTGGCCATCTTGTGGCAGCAACCTATGGGAGATGGGACCAGTCCTGGGCTGGGAAAGCAGCAGGAAATTCTGATCTTCTTGTCTACCTCCCTTCCCCAAATCAATCAAATGGGAGAGGCAACACTGTCAGATGCTGGAAAATGCTTATCAGTCATACGGAATAAAACAGTACCTAAATTTCCAGGAAATAAAAGGTGCTTAGCTTAAAGGATTTGACCATTCTAGTAAGAAACTTATTTCCATAAAAGCAAGAATTTTCACCATGGCTTATTTATGTTTCAAAACTTTTCCTTTGTCTTTGGTTTTGTCATCTCAGTGAAAACAAGCTGACATTTTAATTCAGCCCAGAATTTGCAAACTAGTAGAACCTCCTTTCATTTTTTCAATGGCACAACAGACTTAAATTGACAAGAGAAGGACAGACATTCCTTTGGTACATCTCTGTGTCAATCAATCTTGTTGATCTCAGTGGATTACAGGGCCCTCATTTAATCTCTGACTGCATATTGGCATCATCACACCTGGAAGAGGATTCAATGACCTCAAATTCTCATCTTTATGCTTTCAATTTAGCATCGCGCTGAAGAATAAGAGAATAGATTCTTCCCCTTTTCAGATCTTAGAGATTTGGATGAATTCAGCCTCAGATTAAGACAGATACATTTAGCCATGTCTACATGTCTAAGCTCTCATTAGCTGACTCACCAGAGATCTGACACTTCATACACCTGCCCACACACAAACATCTCCTGCTATCTCAGATGCTCCCAAGTATCTGCTGGTCTCTCGATGGTTCCACAGAGGGTGGATCCTGCCAGATCTGTGTTGTAACCACAAACTTCTGGGAGTATCTTGGACACCACAAAAATGGCAACAGATAGTTGAGCTCAGGCACCTGAGTGGAGCTTTCAGTCCACAGAGTTGAGGAAGCTGAGTGATTCACTTTGCTCTGAAAGAAACACCTACTTGCCTTTCAGCCCAAGAGCCCCAGGGACTACTGGGGCTGCTCTGACAGAATTTCCACTGACTACATGTGCCCACATAAGTAATATTTAGGTATCTTATTCTTGAATTTGTTACCACACACTACTGCCTTGCAAAGTTGCCTCATAAATCTTTGGAAATGAAAGCACTTATTTCTTCCAGTCAGTGGCAGTTATTTCTGTACTTGGCACTCCAGCAATAGATTCATCCCAATCTCCTAACAAATGAAGCTTTCAGCCCCTGGACCACAGATGTTACAGGTAAAAGAGATCACTACATTTTGAGTTATTATTGCAGAGTTACTATGCAGAGAGAGACAAAAATTTCTTCCATAAATCTATTCACTGCCTACTAGCTGAACTGTAGGAGAAGGTCTTTAGAGGTGCTTGAGTCAGCCAATTCATTAGGAAGCTTTGAAGGTATGAGCATTATCTGGTGTTCACAAGAGGAGAAGGAAACAAAGGAGTAACACGTGCTGCATTGTTCTGACAGATTGCTGTTGTGATTCCAACTAATTGAGAGCATTAAAGAAAGCCGCTTCTTCACACAGAGCTTTTATTTCTGTCCATATGTCAGCAGACTCAGTTAAATGGCCCCATATCAGATAAAGTCTAAAAAAATTCCCTGTAGCTAAAAAGATTAAACCCAGGAAATTTTGTAGTTCAGGAAATTAAAAAAAAAAAATCTTAGGGCACAGTCAGTTCTACTGCTGTAGAACTGCAATAGCAGGAGGAAGAAGGTAGTGTCTAGTACATGAGGTCTTTGAAACAAGTTACTTCACTTGTGTGCCTGAGCTATCTTCTGTCAGAAATGAGGTTAGTGAGAGCTAACACCTCTGCACAGCTTTCTGGTATCACAGATTCATATCAGTGTTCCCATGAACACTCACAGAGCTGACCCAGAGGCGACTCCTGGCTTCCTGCACATGTTCTCTGTGCATTTGTATGTGCAAATGGCTCTTGTCAGGCTTATGACCAGGAAATGGCACATTACACAATAATATGGCACTATAATAGAGAGTGATGGGAATTCACAGGACCTGATGGTGATCAGCTCTTTAAAAGTGATGAAAGTATCAGAAATGGAATTCTTGACTTGTTTTTTCTTACCTGATCAAGAATCCTCCCCATTCTTTCAAACAGAACTTTCAAGAAGTGTCCTTCAAAAAATGACGCTTCTAAATTGCACTTTTCCAAAGATCTGGGAGATCCAGGCCACTCCCACCGTAAGCAAATGACACAATAATCCCGGAACTACAAAAAAGCAGTGAGAAAAACACACTTCAATTTCCATGGAAACCGTTTCATTTCCTTTGATAGTCCATGCACCTTAAAACCATAATCTAATGATAGATTGATGCTAAATGATACATCTAAGCTCTAAAAGATCAGTCATTCTAAAGTAAACACTATCAGTAAAACCACTATCAGCAGGCACCTCATCTTCCTGGGGATATTCCTGCCACTAGAGTAGTTTGAGAAGCAGTGAGTGGAGAACAGAGCTCCCAAAAACCAGCTGGGGCCAAAACACAAAGCAACACCAACAATACACAACCTAATCAGAGTTCTTTTGAAGCAGGGATTGCATTCTTAACCATCTTCTTGAGGGTAGATTTCCACACTTCTACTGCATTATGTGTAGCTGATCTTGCTATCGAAACCATTCAGCTCCCTAATTCCCAGGACAGGAAAGGCACGTGTACATGCAGAACATACAAACTGTAAGTATTTCAGGGCTTCCTCTTCCCTCTCTTTGTTTCCTAACACTACTGGCAGTCTTTCTCTACCTTGCCCCATATTTGCTTTGTACTGCCTGATGCCTCACTTACAAGGAATTACACCTTGAAAGGTGCACAAGTTGAAACAGAGAAAATAAAGAACACAGGAAAAAATGGAAGTAAAAGAATCGGAAAACAGACTCAAAAATTCTGCATTGATTGTAGCTTACCTACTACTGCAGGATTCCAGGAATAGCAATAAGGAAGCAGAACAGCTATTTGGATGTAATAACAGCAACAGGCAGGGCTACTCTTAGGGGGGGAAATATTTTAACAGCAGCCATATCATCGTCAGAAAGTGACAGAAACCAATTCTGCTCTCTAATAACTCCCAGTACACTCTTTTTCCCAAGACATGAATGAAAGACAAAGATGATAAGTAGTTTCTGGCATCCAAGAATACAACATAGGGGAATTTTACATCAACCTTTGTTTCCTTATTCTCTACTTTCTATTCCCTTTCTTTTCAGGAGAGACTACAAATGAAGGAATATAAATACAGAAATTCAAATGTCCTATCTTTAGCAGCTGATAACATAATTCCAAGGTTATGGAATTTTTGAATTACCTACTAAATATAGCTCTCAGTTACTCTGTTCCTTTGCATAAATTTTTCTATTTAAGAAGATTCATAAGGTTTCAATAAGAAAGCTGCAAACAGTGACTCTCCTCTTACCAACGAAACTATGTTTGTAAAAGCAAAACTTGCATTTATTTCTAAACAGTAAATCATAAAGCTTTCCCTGCCTACCCCACCTCCCAACTTCAAACCTGAATGCCTTAGGCTGTGCCTTCCCTGAGATGAGCCTTTATTTGCAAAGTCCCAGATTGCATAACTCCTATGCAGCATTTTAATTTCTCTTTAGTTCTTTCAAACAGCTTGGCAGGCAATTCTCCAAGAGAATGCAGATAAATGCAGAAGCAAATTAAGAATCTCTCTGCAGTTCAGGTTTTCTCTTGCTGTATTTGTTATATGAATATTAATGCATTTAATGTCATCCATTATTCCCACTAGTGCAATATAAGGTGAATTCATCATCAAAAGATCTCCAAAGGTAAGTTTTCATTAAAAATGAAAATTGAATTTTCCCATCTTCCATTACCAACAGATGCATTTAATAGGACTATTTACAGAACCATTTGTATAGTCTCACCAGCATTTCAAATTCTCAAGGAGTAAGGAAGAGTTCACTGACTTACTTGTCTGTGGGCATCTCTGAGGTAAGTATCATAACCTGTACCCTCCACATGGTATGATGACTTTGCTTCATCAGGTACAAGACAGAGAAAACTGAAGAGAACAAAAGCACATTAATGACTATATTCCACAGAGCACCAGATCAATACTTTCTCATCATCTGCAGCAGTGTACACACAATGCTGAATTGTCTGGCCAATTAATCCACACACTCTACCATAACTTTATGTGAAGAAGAGAGAACACAACATCTATTTAAGCCTACCTATTCCAACTACTATAGGTCATAACAAGGTATATACTTCATAAGTTTTGTATCTGGCATGAGAGGTAAAGTCATCAGTGGAAGCATTCTCTGAGAATCAGCAGACAGAATGGAGATTAAAGGGAACATTCATAAATACGCCAAGTATTTGCTAAAGGTCAGACTCCATGTTACTAGAACTAAAAAATAATATACTTGGGAATAAATGAGTCAAAAGAAGAATTACAGTCAAAATTTTTCTTAAACTACTTCATAGGTAGTTTCATTTACCAGTCTGATGTGGCAAAAAATGAACATCTAAGACACATCAGGAGTATTACATATAAATGTCCCTGTTACAACTATAATTGCCTTTAAGAGTTGTGTAGTTAAATACTCTGTCCTTATTACTTCACCAATGTCTGATGTAAAATACATCAGGACATTCTGAATAATATTATTTACATTAAAAAAAAAAAAATAAACCCATTGAAATTTTGGGAGAGAAAATAAAACCCAGTCTTTGGACCCTGATTCCAAATTTCAGCCTTCATTATACCCCAAGAACTGCTGGACACTCCTGTAGAATTTATATGCAGAAATATGTAGTAGCTGACTTGTCATGTGGAGTTCATCTTATCTCAAAAAATACAAATTTGCAGGACACTGCAAAGCAGAAAACATTTCTACTCCCTGATGCAGGTTACATGAGGTGAATTCAGGGAAATGTTCTTTGTGTCTTTGCTCCAAACCATGTCCACCATAAACTATAAATAGCAATTCTGGGGGAAAGAGGGCAAGAAGTGATGATGTCACTGTGTCCTGGCTGTCCCTGGGCTCTTTGCTTCCTTTGGCTAACACCTTTGATTATTTCTGGGCAGGCAGATAGGTCAGCACTGACACACCAGTGCTGCTCTGCTACCAAGTACTGACAGAGCAAACAGCCCTTGTCCTAATATTAGTTCCTAAGAGAATTACCATCACTAAGTTGCTTAGAGCAGAGCTTGTCCTCTTTGTGATATCCAATTTGCAGTGAGTCTGACAGGCACTGAGGTATGCCACAGGTGACACAGGTGCCCTCTGACTTTCAGGGAACAGAAGGCTATCTCTAGCATGGCAATTATTTCCTTTTATGTATGTGTTTATGGAACTTTGAAGTTCTAAGGAAGTTTGAGGGGTTTTTTTCCCCTGAAAGGTTTATGGTAAGACTCCCCAGACTTGTTCAGGAAGGTCAAGTCCTGTAACAGCATTTTAAGTACAGCAAATATTTCTGCAAAAAGCAACTTTTATAATTGTGAATTCTGAGTATTCAACCATTAGCTGCAAAGTTCTTCTGTTTTTCTCATTTATGTTGAATTAATGCAAGCTGTAATCTTTTAGAAGTAGCTTTCTGATAAAATGCCACAATTTCCTTCTGTGGAGTCATTTTCCCAGCTGGCACAGAATAACATCCATTACAGAGTACACATTTAATTTGCACAGTGTGTGCAGACACCCACACATTCAGACATTTCCTCAAGTCTTTGTTTCAACTCACCTATTTACAATTTTATGAACTTCAGTCTTCCCATCATTTTTTGGATGTTCTGGACTGACAGGTGGAGAAGCACTGAGCCACTCCTGAGCTGACAATGTGTTATCTGGAGACAGATCAGTAAATAATGGATCTTCCTCCAGATCTCTGTGAAATTATATCAGAGAAAAACATAATCATCCACAGAATGTTATGGAAGGCAGCAAAATCTCTGGGTCACAAGGCAGGCAGTTTTTCCTCTCCGAACAATGAGGATGTTTTCCAGAACAATATCCACAATGTATTACATAATTCAATTAATATGCAGAAATACCAACCTTTGCAAATACCCAACAATGTGAACAACAGATGAGACATTTTTGACTTGGACAAAATTACTGCATCAAGTAACTTAAAACTTCTTAGCCACATTCTTCACATGAGAGAGTTCTACTCCAGGACATATTTAAATTATTCTAGATGACTAAAATGGTTTGTTTGGCCAGTCCTTACCCCTCATTCACTAAAACACTGAGTTATAAGAGTTACCCAGCAAATACATTTTATGTAGTGACTCAGTATTGTATTTATTTATTTAATGTAGTGACTCAGTATTGTATTTATTTATTTAATGTAGTGCCTCAGAAATGTTCTTCCATCAAAAATTACTAGGAACATAAATGTAAGCAAAACACTGAAGTTATTGACTGCAAGAACATTCTCACTGATTGCAATAAAATATGCATAGATTTAAACTTGGTAGATGCATAAATAAATTGAGACACGAAGACCTCTGAGTGTCTATTGTTCTGTAAAGAGGCTTGTGGTAATTTTAGATTTTCTGTTCCTGTTCTAAGAGTTTCCATAAGTTGCTGATGTAGGAATTTCTGCATCACTTTACGGATATGGATTAATACATTGAGCACTCAAGTGCTCTCCAGGCTCACTTTTTTTTCAATTAGTGGAAAAAAACAAGTTTTGTTCTAAAAATAAGGATCCAAGTTACTTGTGAAAACTCTTAAAAATGAAACTTACACTGCTCCAGCAATTTGTCCATTCTCTACCACATCTTTATCTTCTTGACAGGGAGGCTTGTATTCCATGTAGTTTCTTTCTTCCAAATTTCTCAGAACCAAATTATAAAGAATGTGCTCATTGGGTTTTTGCAAAAGGTGCTCAAACATTCGTAAAGTCATTATGCTGATCTGCAACAGAAAGAGTAAAAACTCAATAAACTGATGCACTGCTGCCCTGTGCTTTTTGCCTTTTATCTGCTTTGTCCATCCTAGAAAACTTCAATCACTTATTGACATTATGGAAGGAAAAAAATTATGGAAATTATGATGCTACATGTGGTATAAACATGGATGAAGAGTACACATACATTTGAAAATCACTATGGGAATGCTTTTTTTTTTTTCCTGTAAAATAACCTGTTCTGAAATCTGTCAGAATAACAATGCAAAGAACATGCAGAGAACTCAGAATTTAGCTTTCTGTTCTACAGTTAGATCCATGCTGGAAGATGATTATCATTGTGCAAATGAGACTCACAACAGGACCTAAAGTTAGTAATAAATACCCAGAAAAAAAGAAAGTAATACTGGGATATTGTGACAAGATCTATAGGTTAAGAATTTTACATGGAGATGTTATGTAGGCTTTTAAAGGAACATGAACTTTAAGCAATACAAAGACAATTTTTCAAGACTGCTTGAGAGTGCTTAGCTTTGCAAAGATAACTGATTTACAGAGATAACTCATTCTGACAGGGTAAGAAGGTAGGCATACTGAAAAACTGGGTATGAGAAAGCACAGATTTGTATTTCAGGCAACCTTGTTTTTTATTTGAAAAAGTAGAGGGCTGAGGTTGTTTCATGGAAAAAATGAAGCAAGCAGCTTCTGAGGAGGGATTTTACTGAAGTAAATTGTTGTAATGATGCTTAGTGTATGCAAAGAGCTTAAAGTTATCACATCATCTTTTAACTGGCATTGCATATATCCTCCAGCCACACTTAGTTCATATAAACTCCAAGTTTTTATCTATCTCATATGATAATAAGACAGAATTGACACAACATGGAAAATAACAGCAACAAATTAAAATGAAATTACAAAAACTTGGTTCACTTTATCTTCCAGACAAGCAAGTCTAACTGGATACACAGAGTGGGCACACAAATTCACCAAAAAAATCTAGCAGAAAAAAAAAGAAATATTGCTAGGTGGAGAAAACAGCTTGACTTCATTTTCTAAAGGGAATTTGTAGGGCCAGGACCCAGAATTCCCTTTCTTGGAAAAAAATGTTACCGGACACAAACGTGAGAACTCCTCACAACAATGTGTTTACAGCCTCTCCACACTCCAGAACTGGCCAGCAGACATTCCTGTGTCAGACCAGGCCTCACCTCATCAGAAATGTGATCACAGTGCTCGATCAGCCTGTGCCGCAATGGGTGCCTGTTGATGTCTGTCAGGGTTTCTGGCTCCCTGTGCTCTCCAAGGATAAAATACACCAGCTCCTGCAGCAGCACATCCGAAGTCACCTGACGAACAATGCGGTGCAACAGTGCAGTTGATGTGAGGATTCCAATCTCTGAACTGAATGAAACATTTTCATATCAGATAGGGAGAGGATTTCCGCTCCCCAAAAATCAGCTTGATTCAGATTCTGTTCTGCTGTGTCTTGTAGGATGCTACTCACGTTTGCATCAGCTGAGGTTCCATAACATCAATGAAGAATCGTTCCCGCACAGCTTTTGCCATAGCAACAGCAGTCGTCTGAAACAAAAGTACAAAATGGTGTGTCTCAAACTCAGAAGCTAGGAAACAACTGGAACTGCTTATTTCCTAAATATATTTGTATCATCAGAACACATTTCAAACCTTTTGTGCTTCTTTGATGAGTTGATCACAGTAGTCAAACCAAGAAAGAAATGAAATCAATGCTCTTTTCCCTGGAAAAGCAGATGCATCTTCTTTGTGGCTGTAGGAATCCAAACTAGAGCACACAGAGAAAAGAAATTTATTTAGTCTACAAGTAGTTGAAGAATCTTGGACTCCATTCTTATTGAACCTAACAGAATAATTAACAACCTACTTGTAATGAAGGGAACATTAAAAAAGCTTTTCTGCTGGACTCTATGGATGTGGCAGTGCCATCACAACACAGGTACTCAGTGTATGCTAAAGGAAACACAGAATGTGCAGCACAGGAACACTGGTTAAGTGTTTCTGGAGTCAGAAGGGAAAACTGATCACCAAGTCTGCTCTCCCAGAATACACAGACTACAGAAAATGAATCAGTAACTCCTGCAGTCACAGAACCATAAAATGAAGGCAATTGGTCTCCTCTACTCTGTAAGTGACCTCAGGCAAGTCAACCGAAACCACACAGTGTATACCTGAACTAGAGTGTATCTTTTGGAAAGAAACATCTATCTCAATTTAAGGGCTGTAAGGAATAACAAATGCACCACTTTCTCTGATAAAAAACTACACTGTTTATTTATCCCACCTTTTAAAGTTGTGGGTTTTCCCCCTCTAATTTCAAACTCCAACCACCAAGAAATTTTGTTAGGCATTTTGCAAATACCTACTTTTGTCTCAGTACTAACAGATCAGGAGTAATTCATAATAATGAAGGCAGAGTGGGGAAGATTAATGTTTTAAGAATCTAAATTACAGTTAGGATAACAGGCATGTATCTTTTGCTTCATGCTGATGACTTATGCAGCAACTCTTTCCTTCTTCTTTTTTCTGCAAAAATTTTGCAACAACAGTCTGTTGTTAACAAATAGACCCTTCCTGCCCCTCACAGCAGCTTACATGCCCACTGTGTACAGTGAGAAGTTTATGCTCCCTAAATCCTTGATATCTGCATGAGAATACTACAGTGACATCACTAGAAACTGCTGATGTAACCCAGTGGAAAAACTTGCCCCCCTGAGGAATGTCTGCCAGGGCAGACCTGGCCCCACGTCAGAAACCTCAGGTACTCTGGACACCCAAAGTGCACCACTGTGCTACAGCTCTATCTCAGCTCTGCCCTTGAGGCTTCAGCCTGTGTGTGGAAGAATATTTTATACACATTATCCACCTATCAAATTAGTTTTAGGGAAAGGTGAAAAGTCACTTTGAGTATTAAATACAAAAATAAAATTCTTACCCCCAGTTAATTGCCTCCACTGTTTCAATGTCTAAGGGATCCAGTGACTGAGGCAAGGCTTTGTAGAGGGTGGCCAGCCTGTCTGTCAACAATTCACATAAACAAGTGCTTTGAGTCAGGCACTTGGCAGCTGCTGGTTCTGGCAAACTCACCAAAAGCATCAGACCTTCACAGGCCTTCACTGCTATCCGGCCGTCCTGGCAGAAGAGCATGGAAGAATTAATCAGAGGGTGAATGAAGGCCACTGGAAATCAAGAAGCAAACACCTTCCACACAAAACCTCTCCATTCCCCACAGCGACTGAATACATTTATTTTTGTTGCATTCTCAGTCATTATCTCCAGTGAATTTGGATGCTACAAAATAAAGATTCTCACCTGATTTTGTGTAAAATTCAAGAATGCCAGCTGCAACCTTCCAGCTGACAGAGCTAGAGCTGTAGGTCAGCTTGAGACCAAGATACACAATTCTGTAAACTACTAATGTAACAATAATGAGGTACTGTGGTAGACTTGGTTCTCTGCTCTCAGCACTGCTGCAGCAATTACAGGCTTACCCAAACCTCTTCTAAATTTTCTGAAAGAATCTAAGTCTGAATTTGAGGACTGAGCTGGGTAAAACATAAAACAGGCTTTTTTAAAAGAAAACACACTCCTAGAGATAGCTCAGTGGCATTACAAAGAGAGTAGCTTTGGTTAAGTCAGAACAATTCAAAGTAGTTTTAAAAACACTCTCTTGTGATATATTAACCTTCTGATTATCCTGTGTAGTTTTTCTGTGAAACATACAGCATCCTATACAAGTTTCTTAAAAAACTCACTTATATTACCATCAGCAAGCCTAGTATTAATTTTCTAAAAAGTATTTTTACTTTAATATGAATTTACAAAGAAAATTACCAATTTACACAAAGTGCCTGCAAAACCTATCACTTTTAATAGCTAAAATACAGCATGTTTATTCACTCCCTCTGCCCACTTCACACAGCATCCAACTATTTCATCTTATCACACAGAGTGGAAAAAACCCCAAAAACCAAATTAAAAAAACAACTCACAGGACTTTTAGTGAGGTTTAGTAGAGAATTCACTAAATTATAGTCTTGATTTGGACAAGCAGTGGAGGACTCAGGTGATGATGTGACATTGAGTTCATCCAGACTGAAAGAGAGCTCCTCTGCCTGCTGTGGGAGCTCATCCTCCTTCTCCATGTGCTCGGCTCCGGCAGCACCGGGCGTCTCCTCAGGCTGGCCAGGCTGCCCCGTGTCTGCTGCCACGGACTCTTGGTCTTTTATCATGTCTTCTGTGATTACACTTGCTGATCCTTGGAGAGCCATTGCTTTTAACTTACTCTGCAAAGCATTTTTTTGGAATTACACAGCTGAAATTACTGTTCATCCTGAAGCAGAAGTTTACTAAAAGCAATTCTTTTAACACCAACATTTGAAGTAGTCAAGGCTGGATACAGTAACCATGTAAAATGTACAGGGCTGTGGGAGCGTGGGTGTTTTATAAACCTAGGACACTTTTAAATCTGCTTAAATTTCTCTTAAGCCCTACACATTTTGCTTCAAGGCTGAATATGCCACTTACAAAAGGATGGCAGCTTTTTCTTTCACTACCTAAGGCACATATTCACTTGCACCCAATTTGACAGAGGTTTTTAATTTATCTTATGTGTGGCACCTTTAGAACTTAGCACTTTTTATAGAACATTCCTTTCTGTGTCAAGGCCTCACATTCATCTAATGTCTGAAACATTATTTCCAGTTGGAATCACCCAAGTAAAATAATTCCAATTTTTTTGAGATTTTACCTCCAACAGTAAAGGGAAAGAAACACCTTTTCTGACAGCAGAGTACTCTCAAATTGTGTTTCTCAAGAAGAAAAAATTGGGTAGATTGAATGGACAAAGGTATGAGAAGTTAGAACTGGGCACTGGATACTCTAAAAGGTCACAGAGAACCTTCCTGGAAGCTCCAAACCATCTCTGCTTTGCCTGACAAAAGGCAACCCATCTGTCTTCCCATAAATCTGTCTCCAGCACATAAAAAGACATTTAAATTTGTGCTGTGTGATACCAGGAAGAAACTCACAGAAAGGCAAGAATTCAGTGTTCTTCTGGCATAAGTGCAGGTGAGGAATACTTTATTGGAATCATAAATTAGAATGCAGCACAAGACATTTCTTTCAAGTGAGAACTGCAGCGAGATTATAAATCCAAACGGTTCCCTTCTCTATGATAACACCAAAATTATTACAAATATATCTCAAGCATTAATAATTTAAAAGACTAACCATTTGGGGTTAATGGATTTTAGTACAGACAAACCAGCAGGGACTGAGGACATGACAGTGAGGCAGCAAACTGGAGAGCTGCTGTGAACACTTGCTCAAGGCCTGTGCATTCAGTGTGGGGAGTTTGCACTGGGCATTGTGATGCACTCACAGAACCAATTCCCTGGAGAAGCAAACCAGTGGTAAAAGCAGCAGACTGCATGCTATAAAATAAGGATGATCTTTGAATGCAGTAGAAAAATTACTGCTTCAATATGCTTTGGGTTTCTTGTCAGTGTGAAAAGTGCAAGGTTGGCAAAGCAATAAAAAGGTGTCTGTCTGAACCAAGTATGCCCATCATAAGATCTTCTGCAGTCCTTCAGTATCAATATCCTCAATATCCTCATCGATACACAGAAATATCTGAATCACAACAGTGACCCTTCATATAAAGGTTGGAACAGCACTTCAATCCTGGACTCAACACTGTTGCTGGCACCACTCAAGCTGCAGGCAGAGTTGTTAAAGGGAAAAGCTTTTTTTTTTTTTTTTTCCCCCAAAAAACTGGGAAATATTCTGTAAAATACTTATTTCATCTTTCAGTGGCTTATTACTTCATGTCTGGATTCTTCTGCCATTTGAAAGGCCATTGTTTATTTAGCTAAAGCAGTGATGAGAGAACTAACATATATAAATGTATGAATGCCCCTAGAAATGTGTCCATAGTTCATTATTCTTACACTGGCAGGTGACACAAAGCAGTTTGTACATTGAATAACACACAGGCAGAATCTTTGTGTGTATTTAAGCTTCCTATTGTTTAATCATGCAATTCTGCAGCTCAGCTGCTCACCTGCCTCCTGCAAAGGTGCAAAACAGGATCCTGAATGACCTAATAGAAAAGGTTACATAAAACACATATTCAATGCTTTCTAAACAAAGTACTCATGAATTCAGCATTAACAAAGAGCAGATAATATAAAACCACCCTTTTGTATTTTTGTGATCTGTAAACATCAGTTTTAAAATCTGTGGTGGATGATGCCATGTCTAACTTCTGATAGATTTAAAAAGAGTTCTATAAAAACATCAAGTGATATCACAGCTGATAAGAATATCTACTTAAATTTGTGGTGAGAAATATAAAGGTGATAATTCATAGTACTGCAAGTAGAAGTGAACAGTAAAACTATTGTTCATTTTATAAAATGAAGGTAAACAACTATTTAGATGCTATATTAGAATTTTTTAGGAACAGAAATTTATAAAATGAAGGTAAACAACTATTTAGATGCTATATTAGAACTTTTTCAAGGTCTTAGGAACAGAAATTGAAGCAGAGAGAGTTAAGTGTCCCTTTGCCAGAAAAAATCAGTTGCAAGGAGTATCTCACCTAAAATGGGATAAGATGAGATGAGGCAAGTTTACCCTAAAATATAACTGAGGCAGAGGTGATAAATAAACATTACAATGTATATTCTTTCTCTCTGCATGAGAACTAGGAAAACTCAGTTAAAAAAAAGGAATACATTAATATCAAAATAAAATTAGTATAGGGACCTAAAGTTTTAAAAAAGTAGAATGAAGTTCTTCAAGTTCTTATTTCCACAACAGACATAACTTGTCCAAGTGATAGAGTTATGCCATGTAGGCTTATTGATTAAGCAATATAGGTGAAAGGTTTCACCTATACTAATTAACCAATAGTATATATATTTATGTAAATTTAAAATATAAACCAGCTTTCTATCAACAAACTATTTGGCACAGAATCATACAAAGGAAGTGAGTTTGAACACATTCAGTTTTTATGTTCATAAGATCCTGTATAAACTGATTGGAAACAGTCAAAGGAAGCAAAACTAACAGATACAAACACTCTCTGGAGAGATCCATCTGCATTTCATCTTACAAGTGCTGGAAATTGGAGGTAGAATTGCCACACAGAATTCTGTAAATTTACCCTTTCAGGCATTTGAAAGTGATCAAGTCACAACAGCACCTCTAAGAGGCCAAATGTGAATAACCAGAATATCCTATTCTAATGGAGCAGAATTCTGCACTCCACATAACTGCTTGGAAACAGCCATCACAAGTAGTGAAGACAAATGCTTTAGGCTGCAACACCTAAAATAATACTATGAACAGGAGCTACAAGAAATGTTTGCCAGCTTGCCTAAACTCCACAGTCAGCATTTTGTGAAACTAGAGACCCCTTTGAAACTTGGAATCATCTGTTTCTCCATGTCTGTTTTGTAATATTGGAGTCTTGCTATTTAGGGGAGGAACACTAATAAAGTGGGACAAAACACTTGTGGTTCTAGAACACTAGGGTTCTCAGGTTTGATTGCAAGGGCACTATTTAAGAGGCTTAAACCATACAACTTACACAAATAATACTAAAAGCAATCCTGGTTTAGAATTCTACCATATTTTGCATGTAATATATGCAGAAGTTTAATTCTGAGTGCTTCTAATGTTTAAACATTAACTTTTCAATCCTTATACAATTTCTGCTGCTTGTACAACTACAGTGGATACAATGGCAATCAGGATAATACTTAACTGAGGTAAAAATAAACTCAAGATTGATTCTTTACTACTGACATGCAAATGATAATCACATACTTGATAGAAAATAACATCTTTTTGCAGTTTAGCAGTCTCTGCTGTCACAGATCTTGTTTGTGGAAAGCTTGTAAAATAGTCCTGAAGGAATATTTTTCAGCTAAGTATCATGTACTTAATAGAGACTGTGTCCATAGGAAACAGCAAAGTAGGAGCAAAAGGCATTTCTAAATGGACTTTTATAAACCATTTTTTATGCTTCTTCTAAATAGGAACTGAAAGTCAGTCTAGAAACTGTTTATCCTCCCACTCTGATTTCATAATGCCACATGTTAAAGGAGGCAGAAAAGACACAGGCTGTCTTGCAGACAGAAGATGTGTTGTGTTGTAGATTGTGAGCTGGCACTGCAGCTCCAACATATGTGCCCCTACCAAATAAGGGCCCAATCCTGCAGAACACTCAGCGGCTCGCAAGGTTTCAGTGCCCCCTGCAATCTGTCCCTTTGTCTTCGCTGGGATGACAAAAACAACATGAGAAGGCCAAGGTCTCCCTCACACAGTGTTTTACACTGCTACTCATATCCCTACTTCATTGCAAAGGAAAAGGACCTTGGGCAGGTATACTTATGAGCCCTGAATGAAATTCCCGTGAAAATCAGAATTATAAAGTCTCTGGGAGAAAAAAAATTCCAAACAAGACTTCTAATATCACAGGATAAAAAGTAACAGATGGAATGAAAACTAAGCTATGAAGCACAATGTGACACCACCAGTTCTCCACTAGATTTTGTATATGACACAGTGAATACACCTGTAAAATTTTGAATTTATTTACTCACCTCAAGGAAAAAGTTGACCAGGTACGGATCCTGCTTCAGCTTTGCACATACTATACAGAGAAACTGAATTTCTTCATTTTCTGTTGGTGTTGCCAGAACCTCACCACAGAGCCTGATTAATTTCTGTCATATAAAGTGAACAATTAAGACAGAAAGTTATTGCTTTTTCTAGGAATAACAGAGTGAATTATTTTTCTATATAAACACCACAATTATGTATGAGTATTGACTGGAACATTAGCTTTGGATTTAGACTGCAATGAACAAGTTTTCATTATTATCTATGACTTGAATTGCAGTGGCAGTCCAAGACTCATCATCAGCACATTAAAAAATCCAAACTGATCTGGTACCCAAGCAATTTCCTTAATTCACCTGACAATGGAAAAATTAAAGATAACATTAGCTACAGCAGAATAAAGGAAACTTATGCAAAAATACAATTTACTTAGAAAGTACCTGCACTGGCCTATGCACATTTATGTGGGGAAGAAGAGGTTGCCGTATTCTTCCAAGAAGTTTTGTATAAAAAGCCAGAACCTGCTGTTTCATTCCTGGAGGACACTGAAAAAAACCAGATGAACAACAACAAAAATAGAATAAATGTGGAGAAAAATACAGATGTAAAGTTTTCACTCAGAATGGCTAATTAAACAGCAATAATTTAACTAAAAGTATTTTTACAGTCATCATCTGTTAACATATTACTTTTATCAATATTAACAGAGATCAATAAAAAATGTTGCATCTCATTACTGTTTTCTCTTTCAAATTATTCATACTTTCAGTTAATTGCTCTAGGGCAAACTTCTACCAATACTTCCAGAAAATATTCCGTACCATTATGGTGATAAGGGGAAATTAACTCGGAATTAATTTGGTACAGGTCAAATGTCTATTAAGGTACTGTGCCACAAAATCCAGCAATTCAGTGAGTCAGTACATACAAATACAGAATGATAAACTATAAAAATCTTAATACCTACAGAAGGTTTCTTAAAGTCATGAGCAATTAACCTTAGCCAGCTAAAGTGTTTATAAATGCACAGATAGTCCAGGACAAGAGAAAGCTGCTGCTTTCCCTGAGCAGAATATAAATCACAAGTATCTGTGGAACATGCAGACCCTTGTTCTACTGTCCCTAATGCACCACACCACAAGAAAGGACTTCCCTATCTCCAGGAGATCTGATGGCTTGTGAGCCTTTATGTACCTTTGTTCCTAGCTAAATTCCCCAAAACTAATTAGTTAATAACTAATTTACCAACCACATTAATAAATGCTGTTAATTTTAACCCACATAATTTCCCTCATTTGCATGTCCAAATGCAGCTGAGGTGGCAACCTGCAGCCTAACCTGGCTCCCCTTTTTAAGTAACTATCTCTAGATTTTCAATCCCTAATCACTGCAAATTGTCAAACAACTCTTTGAACAAAATGGCAAGATATGTACCATCAGGGCACATCCACAGTAATGTAGTAAGTCTAACTGACTGCTGTGAAAGGGAACTATTCATTTTGCACCAGATCTTTGCAACATCTTGCAAGCACTGAACTGTGTGTTTACTTCAGATGTATCAACTCACAAGTGGCAAAGTGTAAAGACAGGCTGTACAAGAATTGCCTGTACAGACATATTTGTATGAGTACAGAATGACTTCTCTCAACTCTTAGAAACACACTACTAATTACCCGCTTCACATATGGCACCATTTCATCTTGGTTTCTTGACAATATGTAGAGATTACTGAACGAGCTGTGTTTCTGAGCAAGTATCTTTCATACAGCATTGTTGAGGTTTTAGGCCCAGCTGGAGCAGGTATTTTAGTCTGACTGTAGAACAGCTGGTACAGTAGCAGATCTCTGGCTCTTCCAGAGCAAGGAACATCTCAGGCTCAGACAGCCACTGTCCTGTGTTACCCTGTGAACTGTTTACACAGTTCATGTAAAATCAGTTAAAAACTCATGACAACGTGTAAAAGACTGACTGAGAAGGAAACCCTGGAGAGATCCATTTATCCTTGGAAGAGGATAAACCTCCCTAACTGCATCTGCACTGTGATACAAAATGTTCTGCCCCCAGGGCTGCCAAGCCAATTCACGCCATGATCCACCCAGCCCCACACATTTCAGCTCAGAAGTTCTGCCAAGACAGACAGCAACAAGGATGGACCAAGACCATGAAGGAAACTTCATGTGTGCCACAAAGCAGACATGTAGAATTGGACAATACTGCCAAGGTAAGAAAGCTGGCTGGGGATCAACTCAAATTAATGCCTTCTGATATCAAAGTCTTTCTGAGCAATAGCTCAACACACTCCGAAAAGTTAATCAAAAATCTGTATTTAACACAGCACTTTTCACCCAAGAATCCCCCAACATTTAACAAAGGACAGAGAGGGATAATACTGTCTTGTAGTAGCCAGAAAAACTCTAGACTGAAGAAAAATGTTTCTCCTACTTTTAGCTTCACCATCAGCATTATCAGAGTGGTGAGTCCCACCACTGCCAGCACCTCAGAGGTTGTCTCACCCTGATCACACCTGTAAAAGGCTGTTATTTGTAATATGCTGGTAATATATATTGGTATATTTGTAACATAAGCAAGCAGCTCTTTGCTAGAGTTCAGTGTCCCACACTACCACCTACTGTAGAACTTCAGTCTCTATCACAACTAGGAGCTCACACAAGAGATAATCTGTTCTGCTGACAGATACATACATCAGCTTTTCCTAGTGTGTAAAGTGTCTCCAAAATCTTGTGATGTAGCAAATATTCCATGCATGGTCCTGTTTCACCCGATTCCCTCTCATTTTCTTCTTGAACTAGAATATCCAACATCTGTTCCAGGTGAGAGGGAATGTTCGTATCAGTCACAGGAGCTTTGTCATCTAAATTAAAGAAATAGGAAATTAAGAATGATTTTAAAATTGCCCTCATATTTTGGTTCAGTTCCAAATGTAAGACTTATAAACATGACATACACTTAAAGAATCTTATATAGAGATCAGGTTTTTAACATGTCTTAAAGAAAACTTTCAGAACTGTATCTGAACATGTACACTGGAATATGCATTGGGCAGATATCTGACCTTGTAATAGGGAAAAGGTGAAGTGCCAAAATTCAAAATATGCCGTAATTACACAGGCAAAAAAGGAAAATTTCTACTCCCAGACAGCAAGCAAAGGGAGAGAAAGCTACAACTCTCAATCTTCTGTTTAGTATGCACTAGGTCTTGATAACTTCCTCTTTAACCCTTGATACATTATTCTCAAATATGGCCTCTAACATCAGTTTAATTTGCAGCTGATCAGTTCCTTTAAACTAGATAACTAAATAAATGGCTTTTCTGCTGATAACAACAAAGAAAATTCAAACTCTATGCTGTTTATTCTCCAAAAGCTTTTAAATTTCTTTTTTGTAGTTTCTGCATTAAAATAGAATTCACTCAAACTTTATGAAGGAAAGGGTAAGATATTGATTTTATTATATTAAAGTCATGAAGCTGCGATGGATTTATGCCACTGGAAGTAGGAGCTAACATTCACATATTGTAGAACATATCCACATATGAAGATTTTCCTCTCTTATTTTTTTCAGCAGAATTCTACATGAACAGCTATCCTAGGGAAATGGTTACTACTGTTTACGCAACAATCTAAAAATAACTTGTCACTTGCCTGCAACTGGCAACAAGATCACAGAGGGAAACTGCCATGTCAGAGTGATTTTGGTCTCTGCCACAAGCTCCAGTTAGCCTGGAGTGTTTTGCTTGAATTTCCTACACATAATTCTGCTCCTACTGCGGAGGACAGAAATATATCCACTGAGTGGAAACTTCTTTTTCAAAACACTTCTGAAACTCTGGGAGAGAGGTCAGCTTTTATTCTGCACCACGTCACTGCAGGTGTCAGTTTTCCCTGCCACCCTGTCATTTCCACCTTTGGAAACATCACATAGTGTTCCAAAAGATGGGTATTTGGAACCAAGGGTCACGCTGCAGTTTTACAAGTAAATATTGATATAAACAAGATCATCAGACACAAACACAGACTCAACAGCTCTTCCAGCAGAAGGTCAGAACTAATAGGCTAGAGGAAAGCACGGCAACATTCATTTTTAAAATATAACTGTTTCATAACTAGGTCCAAAATTAAAAATTTACATGCTGCATAATTGTTGGGAAAAAAAAAAAACAAACTCAGAAAGAGTTTTAAAAAAAGCAACTACAGCCATATTTCATCATAATATCTATTTTTAAGAACAGCAGTGTAACATCTGAGTAAGGTTTAATAAAACTTGTTGTCTGTGCTATCAAAATACACTGAGACAAGACATTATAGAAAAAATAACTAATACTGAGCACATGGAATCCATCACTGTCTGGTAAAATCTATGACCACAAAATTACTTTTGTTAAAATCTTGCAAAGAAAAAGAAAATCCCTGATACAAAGCAATAAAAATGTTAACAGCAGGGACTGCATTTCTGCAGCTGTCTGTTTAGATTAAATAGAGTATGTGAAGGCAGAAACTGGGTCAGATGTAAAAAGGTGCAGTTCTCTACATGGTACTCAGGAAACAAGACTTCAAACCATTTTTCATGCCTACTTTTACACATGGAAGTACATGATATTTTTAATTACTGGTTATTGTTGGTATTTTGATTAAAGACATGATTCATTTAGTATTTCTTAATCTTTACTTTTTAAAAACACTAAAATTGTGAATTCTAGTTTCCACAAAATACAAACCCAGAGTGCTTTTTTCTTTTACCTGAGGTCTCTATGTAGTAATGGGTGATTGCTTTCCAGTGGTAAACAAAATCTTCTTGTAATGGAAGGGAAGGTGCAAGCTATGGGGAAAATAAACACAACAAAAACCAGTTAGAAATAGAATGAACATACTTGCTCAGAGATTAAATTCAATTTTATCTTATACTTGGAAGTAAAGTGCTGCAGATAGTGCTACAACTGGTACTCTCTGCTCTTTTACCTTTAACAAGGACTACATTCATTATTCATGGCTCAGCCTCATGCCACACTGCCTGCTTGTAAACATCAGTAATAATCTCTGTGATGTCTCTATCACCAGACAATCTATTCGAAGCAACAAAAGCAATTGCTCCTACTGCAAAGCAACACTAGAAATGTATGCTTGTATTTTTTAGACCACAATTTTGTCCCATAGGAAAAAATCATGTTCTTTTGCATCTGCTCTTGATGCCTTCTTGCTTTTCTGTACACTCTGTTCTCTGCTCTCCGTCTGCTCCCTTAAAAATACCAATTAGTTGCTTCATCCAGTTTTTACCATGCCTTTTTTCCCCGTTATCCACAACTTCTTTTAAAAAATCTTTTTTCAGTTTTTAGGTCGGGTTTTGTTTTTTGCAAATTTTTGGTTTGTTTTTTTAGGCCCATACAGACCCTGACGGGTTGCTCTTTTTCTAAAAACAAATATGTTTCTTATTTCATTTCTGCAAGAAAAAAAAATTTCTTCTTTCCTGGAGGAGTTTGGGATGGCTAGCTGGGCGTGAGCAGGAATAACACCGTGCAAGAAGAAAAGGCAGCCCCCAGGCAGTCACCATCAGCACTGCTCCTTCCCCACTGAGACACAGGTGAACTGTGACCCATCACACCACAGACAGCCTGTGAAAAAAGGACCACAATCATTTCACCACTCTGCTCGCCAAAGTGAGAGCTGACACAAGCACTGAATTTGTGCTCCTGAATGTTCTGAGCTGGTTAAAATCAGGAATCCTATAGGGAAAACCCCAACCACTTAATAGGTCACATGAGGATCTGTTGTTATTGAGGCCTAATCCCACTTGCTTGAAGCTTTTTTTTTTTGGACCATCTTCTTTCACAGGCCATCCTGAAACAGGGGATTGTTACCTGACAGGATGGCAGCGATGAGCCCTGTGGGCAAACAGAAAAAATCCCAAGTATAAACTGGTGTGTCTGTTTTGGAAGGGTAAGGAGCTGAACCATCTTGACAGGATATGGAGTCCAGTCCTTCACAGAATCTCAGAGGGGCTGAAGCTGGAAGGGGAGTGGAAACCATCCAGTTTAGCCCCCCTGCTACAGCACAGTCACCTAGAGCTGGCTGCTTAGGATCATGTCCAGATGGCTTTTGAATACATCAGAGGATGGCGACTCCACAGCCTGTCCAAGAACCTGTGCCAGGGGTCAGTTAACCTCACAGAGAAAGGTTAACTGAAGGAAGTTTTCTCCCCAGGAGCTGTAGATACCACATTTGAGACTAATAACTCTGAAATTCTCTAGTGTCTCCCCACAGGGTCTAAAATGTGCTGTGCTGTCTCAGTTCTTGGGCAAACAAGGGCTCAGGAGCACAGGGTTCATATACAGTCTAGTACAGTATAGGCTCGTATGGTCTTTACTGGCTGTTGTGGGTTTGTTTGAAAAAGCCCTGGATGTTTTCCACATCAGTCTTTTCTTTGCCTTTAATTTAATGACACTTAAATTTATCTTGGTAAAGTTGTAAAGCCCAGTAAATGGCAAATATGCCATGCCAAGATAAGTGCAATGCTAATTGCAAATGGCCCTTTGCACACAGGACTTTGGAAGGCAAGACTCTGGAAAAAGAGTGGTGCTTGGCAACTATCTCTGCCTCCATCCCAGGTGGAAATGTGCCCTTGGAAATGGCAACCAGAAATCAAACTGACAGTGCTTACCCTCTCCCTGACAGGCTGTGCACTCACTGGGCTCCACGGCTGGGCACTCAGAGCAGCACATTAGCACAGCAGCTACCGCCGAGTATCTGAACACTCCACGCTGCACAAAACCAGTTTATTTGACTGTGACATTTACTAGGTTATTGACATTCAGAAGAATAACCAAACAAACTGAAGACTGAGCAAATGATATTGTGTATCACGCTCTGTATGTCACACTAGCTGCGCTAGATGTGCATTTCACGCAACGTAATGATCATTTCTGCAAAAAAAAAGCTGTATCAAAACCTCAATGCCAGCTGATGAATAACCCAGGGACAACTTTTGAGGAATACAGGCCTCCCAGACCACTTTATTTCCAACATAACACATGATGGATAACATTAAAGATTTATCCTTGGCTGATGTGATTTTCCTCTCCACTTCTTCTCATCCCATCTGCCTCAAGATGAATTTAGTGCCTCTGAGCAATGCCAGGAAAAGGATTTCACTTCTCAGCACTGTCAATAATTTATCCACCATGGGAGAGAACTGTGGATATAGACATTCTCCCTCCCAACAACTGCCTCTAGGGACTCTTCTCAGAGGTGAAAAAATAATTCAGGGACAGGTCCTGCCCTTTCAAATTAAAATACTCAGTGATTTCAGAGTCTCCCCTGACCAGGATTGCAAGCCAGACACAGCAGAGATAACATTAGCATGTGTGTGCACCTGGGCAGGGCAGAGGGCAGCCTACTGGGCATCAGCATTGCCACCAACTGGAGATGTAACCCCAACAAAATTATTTTGAGGTAGGTGTTTACTAACCAAAAAACCCAACAAAAACCCGCAAGAAAATAAGCAAACAAACAAACAAAAATAAAGCAAAAAAACCCCAAACCTCCAAGCAATCTTATTAACTTAGTTATTCAGACAAAAAAGCAAGGTAAAGACCAAGATACCAGCTCATATGTATATACAGCCAAGCACTGGAAAGAATTAGGAACCTGTAGCACTTGGCTGACATCATTTAACCCTAGTAGGACAGGTAGTACTAGTATGAGGTTATAGTTCCTATTTTAGGATGAATTATTAGCTATCAGCTGAGAGGGAATACATGTTACAGCTGCCACCCTGTATAACCACTCTATTGTGTAAGTACTTGTATGGAGATTCTGAAGCAAACCAGAATGCCTTGTGAAGGCCATTAATTCCTGCTACTTTTCTAATTTGAAGGAGTTACCTTAAAAATGCAGGTATTTCTCCCCATTAAATCAGCTGGCTAGGGCATGGTGCTAATAACACCAAGGCTGTGGGTTTGATCCCTGTATGGGCCATAAATTTAAGAATTGGACTTGATGGTCCCTGTGAGTCCCTTCCAACACAGAGTACTCTGTGACTCTGGAATTAATCCTGATGTAATTAAATATATTCTCAGTGATTCCTAATCTCAAAGTGAAGCTCTCCTCCTCTGGGGAAAAAAAAACCCATGATCTTCAAGCCTGCAGTGTAGGTGTTGGTATATAAAATACATAAAATAGCTAAAATTCACTGAAGCCCACTGAACTGCAGCCCACTGGAGCAGCCAGTGATTAGCAAGATCTTCCATCTGGCGCCCAGCTCCAGAAACTGGGCTTCCTGGGAGTGAGCTGAACTTAACACATGCTGCCTTATCCTTCTGGTGACAATATGTAACAAATAATCAAAGCCCACTCCCTTTCAGGAAAAGAGCTGTTCTCAGGAGAGCTACAGATCTTTGACCAGATGTACAGTCTGCTCAAGACAAAACCTGTCCAAAATACATTTCCGTGTTGTTTTCCAAAGCATACAGAATTCATGTTTAGGCAGGAAAAAAAATAACATAAAGAGTGACAAAACATATATATTGCAGTATTTAACAGCAAATCTTTTGTGCATGTAAAAATCATTGTCATATTTTTCATGTATGCTTTTCAGAAGTGCAATTCAATACTGGAAAGGATGGAAACATCAGAAGCTGGTGATATGCCTCAATAACTTTAGGGCAAATTCACAAAGGAAAGAACATTGTATAAAAAAATAACAGGTACTGTCTGGTCAGATGCCAGAGTAAAAAAAAAAAAAGAGAGCAGAAAACTGTGTCAAAGAGAAAGGAAAGGGAAGTGCATGCACACTGCCCTGACTGACACAGTCACTAGATGTTTTTCTTCAGTCTTACTACTGTACCAATGTGAATGGTCTGAGAGAACATGTGAAAAAGGAATAATGCTTGAAGGTTTACTTGATCTTCAGTTGATGAATGCACAGAGTTTATAATGGCCACTGCCCTCACATATAAAATTAAGATTGCACATGCTTGCAAGTAATGAATTCAATTTTGTAATCTATATTGTTAATACTAGCACAACATTAAAACAACAAGTAATGTAAGGTCATTATATCAAATAAAGTGGGTACAAGAGGAATAAATTCTGTTCTAATCAGTTATGCAGATCATGATTTTGGAGCACTGCCTGTACCAAGTGACTCAGTTTCTTTCAAAGCTGAGTTTGCTTCAAAATAAAAACAGAAGCTACTTGAAAGTATGGTAAGGTACCAGTGTCAGAGACACAGTGGAATAACATGCTGGTAGAGAGCAGGTCTCGAGAATCTGCAGCAGACACCAAAATCTTCATTCATTCCATTGCACGGTACAAATATTCCTGCTTGACAGCAAAACCAAAATTATATTTTTCATGCAAGGTACACAGCTCAAAAACATCCTTTTGAACTGACTTTTAAGGTGAAACATCCAAAAGCCCAAATCAAACACAAACGAAAGTCCTTTGAACACTGAGTGGCCACTTCACAGACAAGCTATTTTGTCTAGGGAGGGAAACATGAGTGAAAAGCACAAGATAAGAGCAAAGTAAGTCTAGCTTGCTGCTTTGTTATTGTACACTACATTTTGTTGTTGCTGACAATGTAGTGCTCATGGATAGCCCTTTGGGATGAAAGGATATCAGAAATGCATAGCAAAGAGAAAACATCTTGAGGACAAACCATATATAAACTGTCACAGATTTAATAATATGAACCCCACGAAGCAACAGCATTTCTACTCTGCCCTGAAGTCACAGAACAAAGACAGCAGTCCTATCCACCATTCTCACTAACACATCTGACTCAATTTAAGGATTCTCTGTTGGCAGGGTAACACAGTGGTGCTTGCTCATCTGAATGCTGCAGAGAAATCCAAAAAGCAAAAAGTATCTAAAATATTGGCAGGATTGACATTAAATAAGAGATGACAGAAAACCCCAGAATTCAATGGTAATGAAAATCAGGAATATAGTTTCAAACACTTGGGCAATTTAGTCACAAAAGACTGAAAGTTTTGAGTTATTCAAGGAGAATCACAGGATCATAGACAGGTTTGGGTTGCAAGAGATCTTAAAAGACCACCTAGTTCCAACCCCACTGCCATGGGCAGGACATTTTCTACTAGGCCATGTTGTTTTAAGCCCCATCCAGGCTCGTCTTGAACACCACCAGAAACTCTGGGAAACAACCTTGGTAAGAAAACACCTTAGTAGAAAGTAACTGATCCCTTAGGCATGCCTCAAGCACAGTCCTGTCACAAGGGCAGTCAAGTCCAAGAGTGACACAGTGACAACAAGTAAAAGGCAAATACTGCCATGTCTGTCAGACTGTCAACCTTTGGAGCTCCTGTCAGAGTTCAGAGGTATGGCACATTGAGGGTAAGATAACAACGATTATCTAAGAGCATGGGAACCCTTACTGTTTAAATGCACTCTGGAGTCTGCAGGCCAGTGGGCCCTGAGGCAGGGCAGGAGAAAGGACAGGGCAGAAGGGCTACCCAGACCTTTCTGGTTTAAGTCCCACGTGTGAAAGATAAACCCAGGCTCTTCAAGTGTATTTAAGTGTTCAGCTCAGCTGAAAACTGTACAGTTGCAACTCTACCTACTCTGGGGTAGGCACCCAAAACTTTGGAGAACTGATACCTTAATTACTAGTTCTGTTGCTGATATTCAGGGTTAAGAATCCAACTGAGGCTGCCCATGTTGTACTTGCTCCCTAGCAAAAACAGCAAGCAAAAATGATGTTCCAAATTCTCTTGGCTCTGGAAACAGGTAGCAGGAAAGCGGACTGAGCCAATACTTAGTATTTACAACACTTGTCACTTCCCCGTAGCAAAGCTAAGCAGACATCTTATTACTACAGGGAGAATGAAACAGCTTAAAGCCACATACAGCCACCAAACTGGTTAAAAATTTACATTTCTCAGTTCTGTCTTTGTATTAGTGGGTCAAACATAAAGAAACATTCTTAGTATCTTCCTGCTTTTGGAATTCCATGTTTCATTCCTAGTATTTGTCACAATCCTGTAAATGCAATAGTGCAGTATTTATCAGGAGATCCACCACGGTGGTAGTAGCAGGATGAGGCAATTCTAAAAGGGACACCAGAGTTGAGCAAGGACAAACAGCATGTTGTTGGATAGCACTCACTTGCAAAATGATGGTATCAATATATTTCTGTAATTTCATTTGGATTTTCTAATCAAAAGAGTGTCTAGTCCCTACTATTTCTACTTTTTCTCTTGTTCCATTCAGCTCATTTGTTTTTCCTATTTTTTACTGGATCTCAACTAAATGCTGTTCTTTTTATTTTTCTGTTTTTTATTTTTTGCACACATCAATAATGTAAACACTCTCCTAATAATAACTTCTATTACATCTCTCAAATTGGTAGGCCTGAAAGAATACCTTCTTCTCCACTCCTCTCAGTCATGCATTTTTATTTCTGTTATTCAAAATGTGGCACAGCTCACCACAACAAACCTTCTTTAGCCAGGCAGGCACTAATTTCTGTTTCCTCTTCAATGAAAGCACTGTCTATTGAAGGCATTCACATGTGGTCTGAATGTTTTCAAGTAAAACATTTCATCATTATTTAAAACATTTCCTTCCAAATGCCACTACACCATTAAAAAAGCAAACTAGGAACCTGCAATTAATGAATACATGCTTAACTTTTAAACCTGAATGCTCCAGCAGAACTACAGGCTCACATAAAGACAGGCACATACTCAAGTGCAGCATCGAAGCATACATTAAGGTACAAAGGCTGCCCCTCAGATGAGGCAGGATTTGGCATGCAGGCTCTTATTTCAATTATTTGGATTTGGCCTGCAAGCTGTTTTTTCAACCATTTGAACATTTTTTTCTTCAACACTTTCCACCTTCCCTTCAGCATTTCCCTGCCGATTTTTATCACCTCTTCACACTCAAGTCTCCTGGGTGTGTTGGTTTACTGGGAGAGGCGCTGAAAGGCAGGGAATTACTCCCAAGACCCCAGCTCACTGAAAGGCAAAAACAAACGGTGTGGGCAGGCAGTGCCGAACGCGGCCCTCAGCAATGGCAGCTCGCGAACAGGCCCCGTTTCCTCTGCCCAGTCCCCGTCAGGGAACCTCGCTGCACACGCAGCCCCGCGTCCCCCGGCAAACCTGACCCCCACGCACTATTACAAAATAAACCAGGGATGAAAGCGCCGCTTTGAAACTGACAACATCCCGCAAAAACACCGGTGACGGCGACTATTGTCTGCTAGTCACGACGAGATGGAAATGCTGGGGAGTTTCCTGATTCCTCTCCTTTATTGTCTGTCTCGCTGAAACAGCCGGGCAACGGCCGGGTGAGGGCCGGGCCAGGGCTGCCCTCAGGCCCGGCGCGGGGCACCGGGGCCGGCAGCGCCCGGCGGTGACAGCCGGAGGTTGTGTTGGGCCCGCCCGGGCTGCAGCCGCTCCCTCCTCCCCTGGCACCCCCGAGCCGCGCTGGGCGATTCGTTCCCTTCCCGTACTCCCTCCGGAGCCCGCCCGGGCAGGAGGCCTCCGCCTCCCCGGCCCGCGGCAGGGCTGAGCCGGATGCTCGCCCTGCGGGGCCCCGCCGGCAGCAGCGCCGGGGGACGGTGGGGAAGGGGCGCCGGGCCCGTCCGAGCCCCCGGCCCGCGCTCGGTGCTAGGCCCGGATCGAATCCCCGGCGCGGCGTGGCCGGGCCCGCCGGCGGCCTTACCGCCTCCACGGCGTGCTGCAGGATGGAGGTGAACTTGGAGAACATCCTGTCCCGCGACTGCAGCAGCCGCTGCCGGGAGGACCTCGAGAGCTCCTCGATCCGCCGCCGCCGCCGCTCCAGGGTGAGGGCTGCATGCGGGGGCCTGGCCGCGGGGATCGGGCGGGCGGGCGCCGGCGCTGCCTCTCGCTCTCCGGCGGACACCGTGGCACTGACACCGCCGGCTGCGCGGCGGCGGCTGCCGAGTCTCCGGGTGTCCTGCAGGGGCCGCCACCCCCGCACGCGGCTCGGCCCGGCTCTGCCCGCCCCGCTCCGCTCCGCCCGGCCCCGGGCGCTGCCGGCCGGGAGCGCCGCGTTCCCGCCCGGCCGGGCCGCTTGTGCCGGCCCCGGGCAGTGCGCGACAGTGCCGGGCTGCGGGCCGGCCGCTGCTGTGCCGCCTGCCAGACCCGCTTCTGCGGGCAGCTCCGGGCAGGGAAATGGATCACAGTCACAGGCTCACTTGGATTGGAAAGACCTCTGAGATCATCGATTGCAACCTTCGACCTTACACCACCATGTCAACCAGACCGTGACACTGAGTGCCATGGCCAGTTTTTCCTTAAACACATCCAGGTGCTGATTCCACCACCTCTCTGGGCAGTCCATTCCAATGTCTAAACTCTCTGTGTGAAGAAATTCTTCCTAATGGCTAACCCAAACCTCCTCTGTCACAGCTCAAAACTGTGTCATCTTCTGCTGCTGGTTGCCTGGGAGTAGAGTCTGACCCTCACCTGGCTACAACCTTCTGCCAGGGAGTTCCAGAGAATGATAAGGTCCTCCATGAGCCTCCTTTTCTCCAGCCCCCATGCCCTCAGCTGCTCCTCACAGGACACGTGCTCCAGACCCTTCCCCAGTTTCTTTGCCCTTCCCTGAACTAATTCCAGCACCTCAATGTCCTTCCTGAACTGAGGAGCCCAGAACTGGACACAGCACTCGAGGTGTGGCCACACTGGTACTCAAGGACAATCACTTCCCTGGTCCTGCTGGCCACACTATTCCTGAGATAGGCCAGGAGGCTACCGGCCTTCTTGCCCACCTGGGCATACACTGGGATGAGGGGAAGGGTGCCCACGTCCACAATTCCTGTGCCCGAGGCTGCCATCAGACTTCCACCAAGGTTTCTGGGGTCCCTCCTGCATGAGGGTGGGGAGATGGGCTGCCTCCACCCTCCTCGTGGTGCGGCATGGATACGGAACAACCCTGGCATGTATGGCAAAAGGCCCAGTTTGGTGTCTGCTGAGGCATTTTGGGTCTGCCATCATCCACAGGGATGGTGAGATCCTCGAGGAAATAACTGTTCATTCACAAAGCAGTGATGAGCTCAGAAAGTCAGTGACAAGTTGTGGCATCACCATCCCTCAAAGTATGTAGAAAATGAGTGAACATGGCACTTTGCAATATGGTTTAGTTGGAATGGTGGCATTAGGTCAAAGCATGGACTTGACAGTCTGGGAGGTCTTTTCCAAATGTAAATGGTCCTGTCTTGTTGCTGCTGAATGAGAGGCTGGTGATGTGGGTGGCATGGTCCTTGCAGGGTACCAGAGATGAGAGGGCTTGTGGCTATGTGCACATTGCTTATTTCATTGTTTGTTTGTTGGATTTTTTCCTATACAGAGAGAAGGAGACAAAGAGAGTTTTATTTCACCTCTGAATCAAATACTTCAGAGAAAAAAAACATCCCTCCCATTTTGCGGCACCACAGGAAAAGCAGAGGTAAAGTGGGGTGAGCAGAAGTTATAGATGTAGCTGACAAACAATATTATGTTTAGGGAAAATGTTTGGACACTGGGCAAATTGACATAGGAGAACAGGATTGTTTGGCACTCACTGGGTAGCAGAGTGAAATGTTGGGAAGGTGATAGATCAGTATGGGAAAGGGAGGAGACCCTGTAGTACCAAATCAAGGAAAGCTTCCATATTAATTTTTGGAGAGGAATGATCACCAGCTGCTTCCTATGCTAGGAGCATGCAGAGAGAGATTAATCAAAAGATGGGACAAAACTACTATTTAACTGCTGTTCTTTAAATTGTGTCATCTGGGAAGCCTATAACAGTGTTGTGATGATGTCTTGCTAATGATTCTGCTGTACTGATTGGTATTACTACCCCTGTGCTTTGCAGGCATGGAGAGCTACAGCCCAAATACTCCATGGAAGTAAATACTAGTTGTATGTGGACACCTTTATTGCAGTTGTTAAAGAGCAGAGCTATTTCCTTCTCAAAATCCAGGAGTCCCAATATGTCAATATCAATTTAAAAGGTAATTACGTTGGGTTTTTAAATGCTTCTTTTTCTCTATTTGTCAACTTATATTCCATAGATGTTCATAGGAAAAGCAAATTTTCTATGTGGGTAGCCATATGATGAAACATCTCTGTGTTTAGGTGATTATTAACTGGACAGGTGCTGCATTTGGAAGGTGCCTGCATATCTGTGTCATTTAGAAAGACAGAGAATGTGGTCTTTTAAGATGCTTTTGCAATCTGTTTTTCATGCAAAAATGTCTTTTAAATGTGCTTGGGCTGTCTCATCTCCAAGCAGCAGAATGAATAAAGAAACAGTAAGATATCATAAAGATATAAAAGGAGACAGTTTTATCACTGTGAGAGTATTCCTAATCGTACTTAACAATTTATGAAATCATAAATCACAGAATCACAGATGGTGAGGTAAAACTTTGTAATGCTTGAGGGCCTCTTATTATTCTAAGAGTGACTAATGTATGTAAACGCATTATTATTTAAACAGAACAGTTCATTGTGGTTGAAATGAAGATTTTGGTTGTAAAAGTGACTTCTTATTAAGTCTTCTCAATGTGAAATGCCTTGCAGTAAAGGAAAAAAAATTAAATGTAAATTACTTTTCCTAAGCCTATGAAACAAATTGAATCTCTGCATATAACCCTGCATTTACCAACCAAAGGATTGGCTTTGAATTGTAGCCATAGTGCAGGATCCAGTCTTTGGTGCTTATATGTCTTGCAAATTGTAGATTTTGGGGTTTTTTTTAATGATCTTTTAAAGTAGTCTCTCATTTTCCAACCATATGTATGTATTTCTCACTGCTGGGAATATTGGATAAATACTGGCAAACCAATAGTAATGAAATCACTGGAAACTAATGGAAGAATTATTTCACCAGTGTCAGTGCAGAAGAACTCAGCTGAGGTTACATTTTGTTTGGGTTCTTCTTGTTCTCATTTGGGATGATTCAATTGGAGATGCTGCAGTTGTGGATGGGCTACCAATGTCATGTCATGTGCACAATGCATCTTCACCTGCTCATGCTTGATGTTGTTTCCACTGAAATAAACACAAGTATTACTACCTTTTTCAGTACCCTTCAGAGCACAGTGCTGCTGGCATGGGGTTGGGGGTTTTTTGGCAAGGTAGTTCTTTTTTTGGAAAAGTACATGCAGTGAGTTAGTGTTTTGCTTGAATGTGAGAAGTGAAAGTGTGAAATGTTCTAATTGATAGAGCTTTTGGGAACTTTCTCCTTTCTTACAAATTAATTAAATTGTCTAGATTAAATCAATTTAGATGGTGTGTGACAGTGAGATAATGTGCTGGCCTTTTTATCTGAAAATCTCTCTGCTATTTGGATTGATGGCACCAGGCCAGTGTCTAATGGATGCATTTGTCTACATTACAGAAGAAGTTCCTGCAGTCTGGACTTTTGCTTCAGAGAGCCTGAAGATTTGGTGAATTTTTTTACCCTAGATGAAAATTTTCCTGTTAGTGCTATGCCAAATACCTGTTGACATTCTGTGCAGGATTTTAGTGTGTTTGTAATAATCAGATTGACATCTATGTTTTCAGTGACTGCTTGGATGAAATAAAGAATGAAGTTTTAGTGATTCAGCATGGTCTCTGCTTTTGAGGAGGGCTAAGAAGATACTTAACATCATTTTCAGACCTTTCTAATGCTGGGCTTTACTACAGAAAGGATGCTGCACATACACCCTGAAGAGCATGCAGTGGAATTGAAGTCATTTTCTGTCATGAATTTTCTGGTTCTGTGCTCTCAGCTGTGTACATCACCTCCCTCCTTGCTGATTCGCTAGCAGCTCCATGTAATCAGCTCATGCAGTATTTCATAAATCCCATTTTCAGGCTTTTCCTGGCCTGTGCATTCTGTTCCATATCTGCACATCTGCTCTTTCTGTGGGGACATTAATTTGTCTTCTGCTGGGTTACAAACTTCCCAGCTGTTCATCTATTGTCTGAGTGCTTACCTGTCACATCTGCAAGAGTCTCCTGACACCAGAACTCATTGCTACCATGGAGGACACAACACTGGGCAGATATTGCCTGCCCAGCAGCTATTCCTTGTTTGTGCTTCAGTTACACTCTCTTACCATCCTCCTCTACCTTATGTAATGCTTGTAAAGGAGACCACTAGGAGGTCAGAAGTACATGTTGTCAGTGAAATGAGACATTTCTTTTCAAATCACATCATGTTTTCCTCAAGTATTTCTGTTCCACTGGAAGCATTAAAACCCAGGCTTTCCTCTGTAAGTAAATATATGGATGTTCTACCATACAGTATCTGCGAGTGCTAGCATATCATAAATTATTGAAAGCAGGTAAAATACACTCAGATGTGATCAGTTTAGCCAATTTCACTGCAGGCTGGCAGGAGCACAAGGATACTTTTCTTGTGGTAGTGGAAGCCAAATCAAGGAGATTAAAGATAAACTACTCGGTTTATGCTGTATTGCAACTGTAATGAATGCAAGGGTCTGAATGTGGTATAAATAAACATAAAACTGGATTTTGCCCTAAAATACTGGGAAAAAAAAGATGAGTGGCCTATCTTATATAAATTGGTTCCCTCAATCTTTTGTCTGAGTACTTGCAGAGAGGGAAGTCTGGAAGCCAGAATCTGTGTGTGTTTCTGGGGAGAATTTAGTTGCTTAGCCTTGACCCTACTAAGAGATTTCCGAGTCATTTTCAGATCAGCTCTGACTGCATTGTTTGTTTTCTAATGCATAATAAGATTTCATTGTTACTTACATCTTTGGATTAAAGACTATAATCTGTTGATCCCTAAAATTTCATCAGATAATCTGTTTAATCATAAGGAAAAGCTGATCTTGATAGTCCATATGAGTTACGCAAATTAAATCAGGAACATTACTACCATGCAAGTATAGAAGCTTTCAGCAGAGCTCTCTTTCTCATTAGTCCACAATTAAAAGTAGGTTTTTGTCATACTTTAAATTCACGTATCATTGTCCTGAGGTATAATTGAAATATCTCATGGAGCCTGACATTAAATGTTGGCACCGTAAAACATCAGAATTTTGAAGCTGAAATATTTATGATCCGCTCGGTAGTGGCTTCGCGATTAATTTTAAATTATTGATAGCAGAGTTACCTAGGCAGACCCAAACTCTAGTGCCACAACGCGCTCCAGCGTTCCCTGTCCGTGGAGTTTGATGAGACAATTCCAGCGGTGTTCCAGGCGTTCCAGCGGGAGGAGGCCGCTGCCTCCCGCCAGTCCCAGCTCTCGACAGCAGAGGGCGCAGCTGACCGGCCTTCACCGCCGGGACAAAAGGATTCAGAGCGAATCCCTCGCAGTGTTTTTTTCGGGAAAAAAGATCCCTGTGTATCCCGTACAGAAGGAATTGGTTTGCCAGCTAGTAGTGCTACCTCTGGGCTTAACTGCTGCCTATTACTTGGCTTGCAAAAGCTTTGGTTGCTACACCTGACAGCCCATTGTCTTAGCAATTCACTTGTCCTGCTTGGCTCTCGGATGATGTTATTTGAAGCTACAGGACTGGTTTGAGTTTACAAAGACATTGACTACTCCCTGTGGCTGTCAAATCCCACGTGATATTTGCATCATTTTCATTAGAACTGAACCTCAACGAGTTTAAGAAGGGTCCAGTATTTAAAGACTGGCCCTTCTTGACAACAATCTGAATTCTCTCCTCAGAGAGGAGAGAGTGACCATGAATATCACTGTTGTATTATTTTACCTATGGGTGGGGGTAGAGGGAGAACCTGAATACTTCCTGGTAGAATTTCATGTTCAGAAGCTATACTCTGAGCCAAACTCCATTTCCAGAAAAAGTCTGTACAGCTCAATCCTTTGTAATTTCTTTCTGAGTCATCAGCCCTGTAGGAACGAGTGTCTGTACTTGGATGAAGCCCTTAAGGAACTGAGCTAGAGGCACTACTGAAAATGAGCAAAGAAAATGAAGTCTGTAGAAGACCCAGCATCATGTAGGAATATTTCTGTTGCTCATCCCTGTTCTCTGGCCTCAGGCTGCTTTGGACTAGTTTGACATTCAGGCCTCATGCTGTGAAATGCTGAAGTAAGCAGACCTGTGTCTGCAATATAGCTAATATAAAGGAACCTGTTCCTGATTAGATCTTAGACTAGTGCTGTAATACACTGTACTTGATTTCTGCCTGTCAGCTCATGTGCCAAGTGAAGTATTTCCAGGCATTTAGTTTCTCTGGTTTTATGCTCAGAAGCTGTTATCCTCTGGGTCTCCCAGGAAGTCCCAGGAGGTGTAGATTGAGCTGTTATTTGTACCTGGAGTGCTTCACTGCTGCATCAGACACCTGCAGTCTGCATTTCCTTCTTCCTCTGCAGCAGCAGCAGCAACCAGGCAGCAGAGAGTCAATTGCTATATTGGCATTACGTGTACATCATAAATCAAAATTCTGTGTTCAGATGTCGAAATCCTGCACTCACAATAACCAGTCTCTGTGTGGTGTTGCAAAACAATTTGTCCCAGATCCAGATCCCAGCCCGCAGAGGGCAGCCCGACCCCGTGTTTTACTCCAGTGATGTGCTTAACTAGGGAATTCAGTCATCTGCTGGCACCTCCATCGGCATGATTTGCTGTGGAATAAACAACTGAATGTTGTGGAGAATTGGCATCAGCTTTAAGCTCAAACAGATTCAAAAGTGAACTAAAAAAAAAAAAAAAACGTGTGACTGAATTAAACCTTCTGGTTTTTTTTTTTTTTTTTTTTTTTAACACATTGAAAGAAAAATACTGCATGAGAAAACTCATCTAGATCTGAGCTTTAAATACATGTATATCAGATAGATTTATTGGTATGTGTCAACAGGCAAGAGAAAGAAAATACCCAGAACCTCTGTACATGAACATATTGGGCAAGACTAATAGGAAAAGTGTTGGGGTTTTTTTTTTTTAATATTTTCAGGAATCTTTCAGGATTTGAGTTTATTGTTGCCATGACTCTAGGGCTGTGCTTTTGGCTGGTTCTTTCCCAAGTGTGTCCTGAGTCCTTGTGAAGCAGCCATCACAATTTCCAGGAGATTTTTGTCTAGGAGGGTGTGTCTACATGCAGGCATTTGCCTTGGCCATAAAACTGATCAGTGCCAGGTCAGGTACCAGGGGCTGATATCTTGACTTAGTATGACAAGGAGCAAGGCATTCAGTTCCTGAAAAAGAGTCAGTACTTTGTGCTCTCAAATCAAATCAAATTGCATCCACCAGCTAATTAAGGAATGATCCTGATATGCTCTGAAGGGAGGCCTGTCCAATTCTATACTTCTCAGCCAGAGGGCCCTGCAATACAGAGCTCAGGATAGAAAATATGTATAAAGAAAATAGCATGTGAGAAATTAAGACAGTGATGTGTGAATTCCAGGAGTACAGGGAGAAACCAAAGTATCTCTTATGATCAGACATCAAATTACACACTGAGGTACTTTCATGATGATTTAGACAATTAATTTTTTTTTTTTGGGCCCAGACTTTCTACCCCACACAAGCTTGTCTGTTCACAGCAGAATGTAATGTATACGTTTCTGAGAGTTTGGCTCATTGTAATTGCAACCACAGGTGTGTTTTCCCTCTGATTCATCAAACTTTCCTGTGTATAGCAGTGCTGAGAGATTTTCACTTTAACTTATTTAGAATATTCTTTGCTACTCATTCCATGTTATTCATAACCATCTTTGCTAAAGTGAACTTTGACCAAGGAAATGCCTGCCGTGTTTTACATTATATAAAAATTACTCTATGGAAAAGCACACATTTAACAAATTCTAACTGCATAATTTAATTCAGCTTGGCCACAGCAAATTCTTTAGTGTAAAGGGTAAAGCAGGGCACATAGTGAGATGAGTTGATGCAGCTCTGAGAAGTATATAAATAGCTACAAAGGCAGTTTGTGGGATTGTCTCTGTCTCTCCTGAATGCAGCCACTGATGCAGGTGCTCCTTGGTGAAGCCATGCTGTCATTCTGAAATCGCCTCCCTGCTCTCCCTGGGCCTTAGCAGAGCTGCTGGGAGGATCTGTTCCCAGACACAGAGGCGAGGCTGATGGCTCAGTGGCTCCCAGGCTCCTCATTTCTACCCTTTTTAAAAATAGGAGAGATGTTTCCCTTTTTCCACTCACCAGGGACTTGACTTCTATGACTTTTCCAATATCTTGGAGCATGGCCTGGCAACTACATCAGCCAATTCCCTCAGGACTCCGGGATGCATCTCATCATCTCCCACAGATGTGTGCTCACAGCTCTTATTCACAGTACATGCTTCACACATGACCTTGGGACTACCTGCTGCAAAACCTGGTGAAGTTTCTGACTCTGAGCTCTTTGTGGGCGTCCTCCTGGTAAGGTTCACACACAGGGGTGATGGTGAAGTTCTTCAGCAGAAATGCTGCCCAATATTTAGATGACATTTCCAAAGCTGACTCTTAGAAAATAATTTGTCATTTTGGCCTTTGTGTCCCAAGTTCCTGCAGGTACAGCAGTAATTTTGATGGAAGAGCAATACAGAGTAGGTATTCACAGGCTTATCTGAGGGATTTCCTTAGTTTTCCAGAATTGCCAATATTTCTGGCTTATATAAAACCTATTTATGC